TTTTTTTTTATTACATAGTATTCTAATAAAAACATGATAAGACATAATTATTAAAAATTCGATAGCTTAATTAAATCTCAATAGGAACCGAAATCTTTTTAGGATTTTTATTAGAACACTATGCCGTAAAAAAACATCATTAGAATCGGAAGGGAACATTTGAGACGGCTCTCTGTGTATAGTTCTATCTACGGAAAATTCACTGTTTATATAAAATCTTTTTGTCCTATTGTAGGTTTTGATCCAGTAATCGGTAAAACTATTACTGCTAAATATGCTGGTAATCTTTATCATGAAGTACAACAAGATAATGGTGATCGATATGTTGTATGATCAAACTATGATCTTTTTTTTTCTTTCTTTTTTGTTTTTCTTTAATCAATTTGAATTTTTTAGTTAACATGTCGACCAGAAAAATTACGTGAATATCATCATCGTTTAATACGAATGTTAAATTTGTTACGAAAACGTTTATTATTTATAACTAATGGATCACGTCGTCTATTTGGAACAATTGGTGAACCAAATGTATGCCTTATATGTGATTGTAAAACATTTGATCATCGAATATTTAATCAATTTCAAGTATCTTTAACAAATTTACTTAAAGAACAAATTATTAAGATTAAAAAATTTAATATTATTTGGTAACAAAAAAAAGATTTAAAAAGAATTTTTAAATATGATTTTAAATAATTACTAATTTAGGGTTTCAAATGATAATGAACAATTTCGAGAACAACCTGTCGATGCCAACGCATCGAATATTGATCGAGCAGTAAGTTTGATTAATTAGAAAAAAAATAAAATAGATGTTTTCGAAAATTACAATAGAATCTTTAAGTTTGTTAACAAGAGAACGTTCACAATCGAACATGATATTTTGTTCATTAGTAGGCTCTAACAAGCCTATAGTAGAAATCTACAAAGACTCATTCTTATCCGCTGTTCTTCCCAAGTTATTATAGTTTTACTAAATTTTTATTTCTGACAAGATGTTTGTAAAAAAAACATCGAATTACAGAATTTTAACCTGAAATTTTGCTCATAGGTAAGTCTCATGGGCATTAGAATGCATTGAAAATTTTAGTTCAAAAGGATGTGTTCTTCTTGTAATATTGAATTTCCAAAAAAAAAAAACAATAATGTGTCAAAAAGAAAAGTAAGAAAACCAAGTATTTTCAACATTCGATATCTCAAGAACAACACATCATTTTGAGCTCGAATTTTTAGAACATTGTAAAATTCACGAGACCTTCTTATAGGCAAAAGTTCAAGTTGAATCAATGCATTAATCAAAGTTAATCATTTCATAAGAATAATAATAATCGATTCTTGTATTTAATTTTGTCATCTTGATTATATACAAATTTTTTATATTTATTCAGATCGATTGGATATGTGATCGAAAATGTCCTCGAAATAAAATATCAATAAGCGCAACATGTGAAGCCGTTGTTAAAGCATTTAATAATAATGTAAATATTTTTGAATATATATATATATATTTTAATCTATTTATTGAAATTTTTTGTTATTAGGTTCAAAGCATTTATTTGATTAGTGAAGGTGATTCATCAGATTTAGCTCGTGAAATGTTACGTGATAATATAGTTAAAACACGTCTTTCATCAACTTCTCCAATACCTCTTCATGTTGTTTCATTATTTTGTAATAATAATGATACACAAGTATTTCTACGTTCAATTGCACAATGTGCTGATGGAAGGTTTGTACTAAACGATGAACAATTTTTTTATTCTTTTTTTTTTTTTTGAATAGTTATTTTTGTTATAAAATTAAAAATGAAATATCTGATTTAAAAGCTCCAGCAAATTTAAATGATCCAACACGAATTAAATTACAAGATGATAAATTACAAATTGGTACGAATGCTTTAACACCTTTACCTGAATATCCACTTGATATAACATTAATGTATAAAGAAGTAATTGAATGTCAAAATGTAATTGATCGAATAGAAAAAATTCTTGGATTTATTCGAGATGAAAATCAAAATCCAGTCAAATCATTTGATTGTAAAAAAAAAAAAAGATCTGTTTTTCGTTTATCAAATAATTAAATGAAATTTTTTTTAGCAACAAAATCAATTGATGCATTCAATGTATCTGGTGATAATAATTTTCAACGTAGTCTTGTTGTTCAATCATCTGCTTTATTTAATGATGAAGAAAAAGATATGACATCAGCAGATTGGTTGAATACCTATGGAATAGATGCACAAAAACTTGATTTTTTTTCTGTTCTTCAATCAGCAGCGTTTCGACATTGTGATGGAGTTGTTAAATTATTAAAACCACCAGAAACTTCCAATGATGTAACTGCTAGTACTCCAGCTGTAAGTTCAAATAAATCATATCAATTCTTCTTTTTGGTTTATATGATTTGATTGAATGCTAATTATATTACAAAAAGGCGATTTCTTTTTGTAATTAATATCTTGAACATTTCCAAATTCATAAAGATCATTGTTAGAAAAATTATTTTCATCGTTATAAACAGAACAACTACCGGCCCACATTCATAGAGAAAAAAAATGTATGCCTAAAGTAAAAACAAACTTTTTAAATATATCTATAAATTTGAGTATTTTAACTTGATTTTCGGAGAGACGCCGTCCTTGCAGCTGCACCATTCGATCAATTTATGAACTTTTTATTCTTTTTTAGAATCCTCAAGATAAACTGATAAATGCAATATATTGTGATGAATTTGCACATGTCACTTGGCCAGATGGTACCATTCGACATGTTCATGTTACACCTGAACTATATCGGTAGAGATTTAGTCTATTAATTTCTTTTATAATTTCTTTCTTTTAGAGATTATGAAAAACGAATACGAGCTTTACTTGAAAAACTTAAAGCAAGGTAATTTCATCGATATCATAATCATGATTTATAAAAGAATTTCATTTTTAATTTTATTGAATTCTTTCTTATTTGAAATTATTAGATTAGCATGGTTAAAAAAAGGCAGCCGAGATGTATTTGGTGCTGTTTTAGAAAATAATATCTATATTTTAATTGATACATCACAAAGTATGCAACATCATTTAGGTTTTGTTAAAGAAAAACTTCGTTTACTTATACAAGTATATTTTCAAATATTCAATTGATTAATAATTATTTAGAAAACAAAAAATTTATTTCTAGGATCAATTATTTGCTAAAGAACGTATTAATGTTGTTGCATTTAATTCTATAATTAATCCATGGCGTGATCGTTTAACAAAAATTAATGATTCAACAACATATTCACAACTTCAACCATGGATTGATGGACTTAATGCTGAAGGATCAACAAATACATTAGCTGCACTTCGTTTTGCACTTGCTGATCCAGCTACTGAAGCTATTTATCTTTTAACTGATGGACGACCTGATCAAGTAAGATTTTATTTAAGAAGAAAAAAAACAAATCATATTTAAATATTAATTTATAGAAAGAACGACATATTCTTTCACAAGTACAATATCGTCAAACAGTTCCAATACATACAATAGCTTTTAATTGTAATGATCAAACAGCAAATCAATTTCTTTTTGATTTAGCTAAACAAACAGGTGGACGTTTTCATACATTTAATTATGGATTTGAAAAACAAATTTCAATTGAAATACCTGAGGTTTTTATTCAAGAAAAAAAAAATTTCTTTTCTTTAAAATTCTTTTGTTTTTTTTTGTATTATAGAGTGAAGATGTTGGTAGTCTGAAAAACGAATTAACACGTGGTGGAAAAGAATTAGAACGTATAGCTGCTCTACGTGATGAATGTTTGGGTCGAGCATGGTCACGTGAAAATCCACAAACAAAAGTATCAAAATCTAAAAGTCAACAAATTAATAATAATGATAAATCTGCATTAGTTAAAAGTCAAAGTCCACTTGATGTTCCATTTCGACCAAGAAGTGGTATGTGATATTCATTATTTAATAGAAGATTAATCGATTATAAACGATTATTATTCAGAATTACTGTTTATAATGTACCGAAACAGTTAACCTATGGTGTAAAACTCTTAGAACAAAATATTCATTCATTTTCCGGTCACATAAAGACAATTGTGTTAGAGGCAATTGCAATTAGTTAGAAAAAGAATTTTTCGTTCTTTCCGAAGATATGTTCAGAATTTCTACCTGAGCTAAGATTGGATAATTATCATCAGATTGTTTCAAAAGGTATAAAATAGTAGTTGTATGGAATAGACAATGTCGTTGCGGGATGAATAGGATTGAAGGACGGATGGTCTGACGATAGATCGTCTCTTGTAGTTGGAACCAGGTCATGGTGAGTTTCGTACTTCCTCCCTTGGTCACCACTTCGAGAATATGAACAACCTTGAAGCAAAGTTTACTCTACAAAGCGCGTTATTTACTTTTGCATGACAGATGTTGAAAAAGCGCATGTTAACTTCTATAGAAACTAGCTCTTTAGTGAAAATGCATAGATGAGATTTCGCTTATTGTTATATTTTATGTGGTACAGATATTCAATGTTTGACAATAATATGAAGTTGAAACTTCCAAGATACAAACTATGGACTGTGTGAAAACCGTTATTTTGCTTTGTACAGACATAGTTTTAAACTTTTGTCACAAAATTTACTGATAGTTGTTTAATCTTAATCCAGAAGAAAAATCTGAACATGTATTCGAAAATTTCTGATTCTAACTCTAAACAATTGTCTTTTTTAGTGGCTCGAAATATTAGGGAATATCTTGTACGGAAACTTCCGCGCTATAGGTTATAAATGTGATTTATCTATAAATTTTATACAGAATTTCATCTAGAAAAGACTTAT